AAGCAAGGAGGCAGGGTGGCAGGGAAAACCCCAGGAGGAGCAGGTCTGGAGAAGCTCCTCCATGAGGACAGGCCGCAGGAGGCTGAGCCGTGCGTGGCGCTGCTGCCACGTGGGCTGGAGACCTCCCATTGCTGGGCTGGCTCCCAAGGCTAGGCATTCCTTAACCCCTGGTCAGCTCAGGCTTACCTAACAGACACTCCTCAGTGCAACAAAGGCAGAGGTGTACTTTCTGCAATGGGAAAGCTTTTCACTGTGGGAGGCAGGCAGTGCAGGCAGTGCACACAGCAGACTCCCTCCCTCTACTGTCACCCCACCCAGACCTCTCCCGGGAGCTTGCTGCCTTTCCTGATTGAGGCGCATGCAGGCACAGGGTCCTGCGTTTCCCTAGGCCCAGAACGACTGGGGGACTCCTGGTTCTGTGCCCTCCTGCATGCAGTTACATTAGGACCAGCTCCTCCACCAGGCACCTCCCCGGACCTCGCTGCAACACACCAGACCCACCTCCCTGGAAACACGAGGCACTCTCAGCAGCTTCACAGAGCTACACACTTTCTCTGTTTTACACCGTAGCTTCCAAATGACAGCCGACAATAGAGGCTAAAATTCCAGCAGCTGCATTACGCCCAGTTGCTTCAAAGTCACACTAAAGTTACTCCCTCCTCGATCTGGGTTTTATTTTTGCTTTTTCTCCCGGGCAGTCAGGATGGACCTGAGCTTCTACTCTTCATCAGGGGATGGTCCTTCCCATGACCAACCAGAGTTGAGCCTGACCCTGAGAGAAACAAAAGCTTACTTCTGGATTTTCCTCCTTCTCTTTAAAACCAGATTGTGATCGGCACGTTGAATGCCGACCTCCAGGACAAGGCACCTGTCCTGGCTTCCCGGAAGGGAAAACCTGCGGCGTGCATCCCAGCTGCACTGTTTGTCTCAAGGAACTTCCCCCGGCCCCACCGTTTCATGGATTCTGTCTCAACAAGTATCAGTTGGTAAAAGACGCCTGTTGTCGCCATGCACAGGGGCTGCTGATTTCTAATGGTCACCACAGGACGGAGAAAGACAGAAGGAGACCCTGAACACTCACTTTAAGGTGCGTTTCTCAAGCTACCACTATGGAAAGGGAGATAGCTGCCTTCCTCACACTTTACACTGCCAACATTTCTAATTACCAGCTGAACCCAAAGGTAGCACGCAGCTGCCCACCAGAATAACCTTTCATGGGCAAGAAGGCAACCAAGGGCATGGTGTACAATTAGGAACCTCCAGGCTGGTGTCAGCGTGACTGCTGCTCAGCATGGCTCTTCCTCCGGGCAGCTGCAAGGGCAGCCCTCCACAGGTTCTCACACACCACCTGCACCAGGACGTGCCATCCTCCAGCTCCTGTCCACAGCAAGGCTGGGGGGTCTTTCGCAGTCTGCTCCTTTGTCAGTGCCAGGAATCAGGAAGCTGTCAATCTAATAAATCCACAGCTTCAGCTCAGTGGTTACAATGGAGTTAATGACGATATATGAGAGGCAAGATCCTTGAGAAGGCCCCAGGCAGGAAGCTTCTAAAATCTCGGATTCACTTCGGTATTAATATGTAATGAAGCCTGTTCCATGTTTCTGTAAAACCACACAACTACTGATCATTTTCACTGGCATCGCTTGCATTCTAATAGTCTCGAACTTCTATTAATTAAATGACTGCCCCATTGCTTGGTCTCAAAAAGAAAAAGCTGTCAATCTTATCTCAAAAAACAAAAAAGCTGTCAAGCTCATCTGCAGTACTTGGGTGTCCTAGGGAAACCCTCTCCAAGACATGGTCATTGTCCTTGGTCAGCCAGCAGCAGCTACATACAAGAACATTACTTCCCTTCAACTGAAGGTCCCCTGGTGTTTGACTCTACGAGTCCTCTTACTATTTATTTCATGTAATTTATATGCTTATTTTAAAGGGCTTATTGCAGCACGTATAATCATATAAGTGATCCCAAATCATATTAAGTAGCAACTATAAATCTTAACAAAGCAATACTAGTTTCCCAACCTGTAAAGTAAAAGCTATGGAATACCTACCTCATTGATCTGACTCAATGGTGTGATAAACACAGAGCATCTCGCACAGTACCCAGCACATAGTAGGTGCTCAACAAATGAGAGAGCTGCTTGGAGGTAAGTATCACTAGTATGTTACTAATTCATGGCCGAAGCCGCATTACTGACATTACCACGGTAAGAACTTTAAATTTCATTATAATTTAGGACCTATGCGATTGCAAATTGGATTAGAGCCAGTTTACAGTACCAAATAAATTATGTTTGAACTATTTAAAATAAAACCATGCACACAAAGAGACATTAGAAAGAGGGAGAAAAGTATAATTCCAGGATGCAGATGAATTAATTGCTGAAAATAAGCCCTAAATCTAGCTTTGTGCTTTCTGACAGCCAGCGCAGAAACAAAATCACATACATCTGTGCAACTCATTGTCTAATAAATGGAACGTGTAGCTCATACAGAAGCGGAATTTTTCTCCTGACAATCCAATCTTAGGGTAGTTGCTCACACCAGTCGCCCTATGATGCACATTGGGTAAGTGACGGAAGAGCCGCACCTTTGCCTCTGTGTGCAAAGGCACACACGAGCATACCTTCCCTCCGGAAATGGTTCATTTTATCAGCATTCCATAGTAAGAGACCGGTGGGTGAGCAACCTGGAGACTTTCCTCACACAAGCTCAGGAACATGGAGTTAAATGGATCCACTGCATTCCAAAATACAGAACAGCTTTCAGGTTTTGTGTCTGTGAAGCAACCTGGTCCGTGGCTTCGCTCAGAGCGTAGGTTCGTCTGGGCCTTTTCCAGCAGCCCAGGTAGCTTGAAACCAGAGCCCAGTAACCAGGGCGGCCGTGGATGGGGAGGATGCGGCTTCCCCCTCCGGGGATCTGCTTCCCAACACTTGCAACTAATCAACGAGGACAGACTTCCCTTGGAAAGCTGTAATCACCCAAGGAGGGGGCAGGCCAAATGCTAGCAAGATTTACTGGCTTTGATGCATAATAAGGTGTTTGTTTTTGTAGGTAATTAGAGTTCAATAGTGAGCTATAAAGCATCCTCCAAGAAATTCTAAACAGACTATTCTAAACAGACTATAGCTAAAGGGTACTAAAGCGTGTCTGAGTCTAACCACTCATCTTTGCAGACCTCCGGTGCAGGGAGGCCAGTGTTTGATCCGTCGCACTCCACCAGGTCATCAGGGAGAAAATGGCCCTCTGTGTTTTTCATGTCTGATGAGACAGGACCTCCATGCAGCGTGTGTGCACCCACACCTATGGGCAAATGGCACTTAGCATGTGCCATGCTGCTGGCTGCTGCCGTGCAATATTGCAGTTCGTGTAACCATAGCTCAACTCACCTTATTTAAATTAACTATTCAAAGGCCCATAACGGCCCAGATGTTGGTGAGTGCTTGGACATGCCTGCATTCTCATAATCACTAGGTCCTATGTGATTCTTAGGTACTATGGAACGCTGGTTGGGTCCCTTGATGGTGGGAAGATGTTTGCCAAACCCATTCCCGATGTATGCTTTTTTTTTCCCCGGCAAATCACTCTTGGATACAGGATTTTAAGGACTAAGAGGTATTAATACAAATGCAATTGAACTTCGTCTAAAAGAGAGTATGTGCAAAGGATTGTCACCAACATTTTTTAAAATTGTGTCAAGATGAGATAACTCTGTACTCAGAGGCAACTGCTCACCCCGCTTCACCAGCTCCTGGGTCAGTAACAGGATTTCCTGCCATGCCAGGAAATGCGCATAAATCACGTCCACTCCCTGGCCCTACTCACATCATGACATACAACAGGCGCAGAAAAGCCAACTACCAAACCCTCTACAGAATGGAGAAGCTTAAGACGAGACTAGATAAACCACCACCACGACAAAAACAAAAAGTCAAGCCACAGATACGGCAAAGGCTTGAGAACAATTGCTTTTATACTCCTCCTTACACACTGACTTTACTCTGGTAAAAACTAGAGTTCACAGCCGAGAACCCAGGCCTCTGACTGTGCAGGTCAGTAGGAAACCTTTACAGTAATTTTTTCCTCCAAGAACTAGATCTCCATTTAATGATGTTCTACGCAATCCAATATAAACCTTCCCACTGTTTTGCATGCTCTGGCCTCCTAAATGTCATTTTCTTTTAAGTTCGTAAGCAGTCATATCACAGAGAAACATAAAACAGATGCTTACTCTAGGAAAAATAACCCTCAGCCCACAGTTTTAGCGTCACCGTCATCTGGGTTTTTGCCACTTGAGGCTTCCTGCAGGTTATCAACCTGGGGCCAGCCACTCAACAGCCCCTCTGACCCTCTGTTTCCTCATCTGAACCACCGGGAGGTTGCCTCAGACTCTCCCTAAGGCATCTATGGGCTCTAAGGTTCCAGGGTTATTTCATCCTAAAGGGAAGAATCACTGTGTGCAAACCCACCTTATTTAAATTGACTATTCAACGGCCCTAACATCCCAGATGTTGGTGAGTGATCTGACACCCTTCCATTCTCATAATCATAATGTGTGCAAAGACTATTATCCACAGCTGTTAATTCTTCAAAACTCACACACTCAATTCTACATTCAGAAAGTTGGACTTTAGAACTGGCTGTAAAAGAAATGCAAAGTCAACAGTATAAAGACACATCTCATTGTGTGAATAACAGAGCGAATCAAAGAGCATGCTCGTGCAGGAAGTACACCTAAATAAGGACATCCTGAGAAGAGCCTCTTCCCGCTGCTCTGTTGACATGCACATCAAATTAACATTTCAACTCCCCAAGCCAATTGGTGCAGTAAGCTCTTGGGGTCCCTGAGGGCTGGGACCCTGGTGAACTGGCCTGGGGTTACTGCAGGAGCAACAAAGGCAAGGAGCAGCACTGTTTCAGAACAGAGACAAGTCAAATGAAACACGTGTATTCATAAAAGAACTGAGACAAACAGGACGACAGAGTCTGATACTTACTTGTGGCCCAGCTCATGGGCGATGGTAAAGGCCAAATTGAGACCATTGTCTTCGGCAAGCACACACTTCCTCTTAGCACTGCACACACCTCCTAAGTAAGCAATTCCTGCAGCAGAGACACAAAACACATCCTCTTCAGAACGTGGGGGCCCCTGGTCTCCCCGGGCAAGTTCGCACAGTCAGCGTCACACATCATCAAGACAGGACTGGGACATGCTGACTGGATCTCTGAGTCTCAGCCCACATGGGAAGGGTTTGTGTTCACCCGATAAAAACGGTAACCACCGCAAGCATCCATGGAGCATCTACGTGTCAGGGGGTGTGCTCAGTAGTGCACCCAGGACCCCTAACTTAACCTTCACGACCCAGGATGAGGGACACTGAGGTATGGAGAGGAAAGGTAACTCTCCCAAGGTCACCTGGATGAGCACCCAGTGCTCTGGGATCCTCCGCCAGGTCTGTCCAACTTCAATGTCTAGGGCTGGGACTGAGTGAGCCCAGCCAGGCAAGGTACCCAGGGTGCAATGTTTAAGAGGCCCTGGCTCTCAGACGATGCCCCTGCACCCGCACGCCCCAAGAGGGAGCGCCTCCTCACACTGCACATCCCAGGTGTGAGCCAGGATGGGATCCGTGCTGGGGCTCACAGACAGCAAGCCCCAGAAGCCTGCGCAGAAAGTTCCAAAAATGCTTCAGGAGCCCTTGAGAGTGGAAGACCCAGAGGGAGTGCAGCCAGTGCTGGGAAAGCCAGGGCCTCACAGTCCTCAGTGAGGACTAGCCTGCGAGCCACATGCCTCATCTCCATGCACACGTGTCTGCCCCTAACGACTTTGTCCTAAGAAAGGAAACCCGAACCACACATCAGAACGCAACGCAGGGCCGTGGAGCCTATGTCCCAAGGATAGGATGGGAGATGCTGGTGGGACGACAGGCCAGTCACCGGAGGAGGGCAGGCAATTTCCAGGGGAGGAAGGCGGCTCTGGCCGAGGGGTGCGTGGGATGCCATGGGGTCCGTGGACGCTGGGCCCTCTGAGGAATGCTGGGATGGCAGCCACAGCGGGGGTGGGGAAGGCGAGCCCATGCTGACCACACTTCTGGGGGCTGACTCTCCAGGACTCCCCACTGCGCTCTCCACGCTGCTGCTCTCCCTGCACCCAGAAGAGACATGTCTCACCCTGCAGGGACCACAGGGCTTACCTCAACAGGGCCCGCTAGGAAACCTGACCTTTGTCCTCCCATGGTGTCTAACCTGACGACAGCTCCGTGATATGCCACTGTGTGATGCACAGGTGGCTGGCGGCATGGGGTGGCTACAGGAGGAGCTCAGAGCTCCCCTGGCTGTGCAGTCACATTGGGTGTGGGTGGGCAGCGTCTCCGCTGGCATAGCACTGTGGAGTGGATGGAGGCTAAACCCAGCTGGTCTCTGCCCACCAGCCCCATGCCCTGGAGGGGCTACGGCCACCCAAGGAAGAGGCACCTGCTCTCCCCCACAGGCACGGTCCCTCTGTCCAGCTGTACGCTGCTCTGTTCCAAGGGCTCCCTACAAAACCTGGCCTGAGGTGTCTCAGGAGGGAAGGAGCTGGCAGAGGGCAGGGGAGAATGGGACAGGGGAACCATTCCATTAAAAATGACCCCTCCTCCCTACTCCCAAAGAGCTATACCAACATGCCCTTTGCTGATGCCCAAATCAAACTGGTGTAGAGCTCAGTCACACACAGGGTGGTCCCTCTGATGGGGTGCGGCTCTGTGTCCCCACTCAAATTGTAATCCCCACGTGGCAGGGAGGGACCTGGTGGAACGGCACTGGATCATGGGAACAGTTTCCCCCATGCTGCTCCTGGGATAGTGAGTTCTCATGAGAGCTGATGGTTTTAGGAGTGTTTGGCTGTTCTTCTGTCCCCCTCTCTCCTGCCGCCTTGTGAAGAAGGTGCCTGCCTCCCTTTCCCCTTCAGCCATGATTGTAAGTTTCCTGAGGCCTCCCCAGACACGCAGAACTGAGAGCCAATCAAACCTCTTTCCTTTATAAATTATCCAGTTTCAGGTAGTGTTTCTATAGCAGTGTGAAAATGAACTAATACATCCTCCTTCCTTATCCTCTCCATGAGGTGCAGAGGAAGCGCACACGGCCTGGCTCCGTGGAGAGGTGCGGCTCCAGGGCTCACATTCCGCATACTGGGCCCAGGCACCTCACTGTGGGTCTATCTGGAAACATGCAATGTGCTTAGTTAAAAATAAATAAAAGACACAAATTAAATGTTATTTGGCCTTAAGATGCTTTTGTGGCCATGTGAATGTCACAACCCATCAACGCAGACTATTAAGAACAATACGACAACCAGGAAGGATGCGATGTGGCTTCTCGGTGCCTTCAAGGTCATTATTCTGGTTTTGTTTAAAGATGTTTTGTGGTTGCTTTTACAAGTCTACCAGTGAGTAGGTGGAATGCTGCTACATAGCCCCAATGGTATGTGCACGCGGCCCACGAGGGTGCACGCACACTCAGACACACACCCAGCAGTGCCCGTCCAGCCCTGGCTGCGGCCTCTCTGGGTCAATGAATTAATTAGAAACAATCAGATGTGCACGCCCTGGAGAAGTTGCCTGGTGAGGGGGAAGGGAGACATAATAAGGCCAGATGTGCTGAGCTTGCTGTCCTGAGTGTGCCCGCCGCGGGCTCTGCCACTGAACCGGCAGACCTTAACTGCCACACACACACTTGCTCCTGGCCTCAGCCACGCTCAGCACTCGGAGGAGGCAGCCCTGACTTTCCACTCTAATTAGGTAACGTGCAAAGCTAGCAAAACAGGGAAGCAAGGAGCCTTCCAGTAACTGCATTTTAATCTTTCCAAGGCGCAGATGATTTTTAACTAGAAAACAAAGAATCAGTTTATTTACAAGAAATGCTCTTGCACAAAGGTGGCTGAAGGTCTAATGCTTTTCGGAATTTATTCCAATCGTGACCAGTCTGCTCATAAAACTGAGCATGGAAAAACACATAAAAGAAAGCTGATAACCAAGTACAAGAGCTGTGTGTTTATGAGAGATGAGGTGGAAAGGCTTAGAATGCAGAAAACCAAGTCTGGAGAAAATCCCAGGTTGTTGTAAAAGTAAGAGCTGCGGGGGGAATAAACGGTAATTAAGCCATCCAGCTTCAGCAGAAAACAAAGCCCACCACTATTCCACGTTTCTGAAAAGAAACTGCAGTCTAGCAAGACAGAGCCCTGGAGACCCAGAGATACCCCACCATGTGAGGCTGCAGAAGGCACCACGCTGGAAAAATCCACTCAATCCCCATGCTGGCGCTTGTCAAGAAATGAGGAAAAACCAGTTTTCTCTGCACTGATTTATTAAAAATGGGGGTCTGTGACACAGGTCTGCTAGCTTCAGTGCTGATGCTGTGGAACCTTCCGAGGGAACTGGAATTTCCTTACGCCAAGGTGAGGCTTTCAGACCCTGCACTGGTGCTTTCACTGGCTCCAGCCTTCTATGATTTAAAATTCTCCACAGATCACAGAACTTATTTAAAAAAAATTTTAAACATCAATTCCACATGTTTGCATAGTTTCTTGGAACAAAAGGGAGGGAGAAAGGCAACTGGAATTTATTAGCTGTGCCTCTCCATGGGCGAGACTGCTCCAAACACTCAATCCTCCCTTGCCTGGCAGGTATGACTGGTCCCATTTTATAAATGGGGAAACAGAGGCTCAATAACCAGTTCCATGGTTAATCAGCACCCAGACCAGGACACAAATGCAGGGCTCCCTGCCTGCAACCCTCATGTTCCTCTAGGCAAACCCTGGGCCTCCCTCACCAAAGTTGTGATAGACAACAACAATGAATAATCTTTGAGGATTTGGAAGATTTTCATAAATCCTAATTTGCACATATGTAGAGACATATGTGGAGTTGAGTGAAGATTTTATACATCTGGGTCCAAATGTTTTAAAGTTTAAACACTTCAAGTGAGAGAATTAGAAATCTTTTAAATTTTCCTTTTCTTTTTTTGGCTTAAATCAAACACAATCAATACACATATTGCTATGAAAATTAAAGTTATTGATTATTGTTCATTTATTCAAGGTGATCTAGTGATGTAGAAGAGGGAGACTCCTCTAAAATGAAACCACAAACAAAGCCCCTCTGTATTTTAATGCTGAGTGTGTAGCCCCTTCAGGTAGCAGATGCTGTAGGATGTTCACAGTGGACAAGCACATACCTAAGTGTGTGGCTGTGGCCTAAATGCTGGCTCACGCCACCTCTGCCACACCCCTGGCACTGATTAGGGAAACAAAACACACTCTTAAAAAAAAAATCTGAAACACAGAGGGTAACAATGAAGGGGTGTGGGCCAGGCACGGTGGCTCATGCCTGTAAGCCTAGCCCTTTGGGAGACCCAGCTGGGAGGATAGCCTGAGGTCAGAAGTTCAAGACCAGCCTGGCCAATATGGTGAAAGCCCATTTCTACTAAAAACACAAAATTAGTTGGGCATGGTGGCAGGTGCCTATGGTCCCAGCTACTCGGGAGGCTGAGGCAGGAGAATCACTTGAACCCAGGAGGTAGAGGTTGCAGTGAGCCGAGATCCATCACTGCACTTCAGCCCAGGTGACAGAGCAAGACTCTGTCTCCAAAAAGAAAAAAAAATGAAGGGGTGTAATGAGTTCTTCTGACACTTGGAGAAGCTCATTTAATTTATCCAGAGAAAAGGCTCCCATCCACCAGGCTCTGTGACCCATGTTCCCAGCATGCCAACACAAAACAGATGCTCATTCGTCTCCTTTCTTTTCCTTTTCTCAGTAGAAGCATAATTTTGTAGACAAAATTGGGTGAAGAGGCTTACCTAGAGTCTTTTTCAGTAGAAAACTACATGACATAAGCTCGTAACCCTTTATCTCGGGGATGACCACTTGACCGTCTCTAGATTTAAAGAAGGTTGATGTAGAAAGTTGTTGCGTGTAAGCTGTCTGCAGCTGGTGGTCTTGCTGCCCATTAGTCCGACCTTACAGGGTCTGCCTTTGAGAGAGATGGCTGAGTTTTTCTCACCAACTGCTCAACTACCCAACACTGTCACAGTTACTGCTGGGATGCTAAGCTGTCAGTCACAAGGGAGC